TGATGGATGGATGGATGGATGGGTGATGGATGGATGGATGGATGACAGATGGATGGATGGATGGATGGATGGATGGATGGATGGGTGATGGATGGATGGATGGATGACAGATGGATGGATGGATGGATGGATGGATGGATGGATGGATGGATGATGGATGGATGACAGATGGATGGATGGATGATGGATGATGGATGGATGGATGGATGGATGGATGACAGATGGATGGATGGATGATGGATGGATGGATGGATGGATGGATGACAGATGGATGGATGGATAGTGGATGACAGATGGATGATGGATGGATGGATGGATGGATGGTGGATGACAGATGGATGGATGGATGATACATGAATGATGGATTGATGGATGATGGATGGATGATGGATGGATGGTGGATGGTGGATGACAGATGGATGGATGGATGATGGATGGATGGTAGAACCAGTAAAAAAAAGATGAAAATCAGGTTTTCCCTCAGATGTTGCCTCTCAGATCTTTCTGTTTTCTTGCCTTTCAGTCGTCTGACTTTAACTGTGACTTTGAGGAGAACTTTGTGGGCGGTACCAGTCGCTCCAGAGTTCGTCTGATGGCCAATCAGCTGCAGGCAAAGCTGGACGAGAGCTCTGGCTCTTGCATGACTTCCTCCTCGTCTTCTGCTTCAGCTCTACGTCAGCAGGTGAGAGCAGAGTCAGTCTGAATCATATGTGAATCACCTAAACAGGAAAGTTCTTCCACATTAAACACGGATTGGAGCTTAATGTTTAGTTTGTTCATTTCCAAAGTTATCTTTTGATATTCAATATATCCTACATCCTAAAAGAATAGCATGTTTGATAATCTCATCTATGTCATACAAAAACAAAACCTGATTCTAACCAGCAGGGGGAGCCCTCCAGCCTCCCTTCTCCTTCAGAGTCTGCAAACCAGCAGCAGCTCACTCCACCAGTTCAGACGTCGTCATGGAGACCGGTAAAACCAATAGAGCCCTGTAGAGACCTCCACGCTCCCTTTACCTTGTTAGATTTTTTAAACATAAAAAAAGGTTTTTAAACACATCTGAGTGTGAGGGGAAATGAGTTTAAATCCAAAAACATTCTGATTAATTCAATCGAGCAGAACCATCATCACACTCTAACCTGAACATTCAGTGGAAAAACCTAAAGAAAATCCTGAAAATTAAACGGTGACAATGCAACCATTCAAAATATATCAAAATTATAAGCGGGTCAGGTAAAGTCCGACTTTCTGTGACCCCGACGGGCCGGATGCCTGACAACAAGAAAAACAAAGCAGAGAAAAAACCCAGAACCCTAAAACTTCCAGCCTTTATGAAGATAAAGATGTTCACCCCATGCAAACCATGTTTCATGTCTCTTTTACTTCAGTTTGTAGTTTGATTTTGATGCAGCTGCACTGGTTATTAGGAAATAGAGACATATGTTTATTTATGAGACCAGCTTGTTTAAATAAGACCAATGAATTCTGATTTGTCTGGGGGCAAACTTCACATTTAGACCACTGGGCTAAAGTAGACTCAACAAGTTAAAAAGCGTTAAAGTTGCCATGTTTTCATAAAGAACTAGACTAAAGAATTTGGCTCTAACCGGTATAGGTACTACATCTGCTCGGGTGGTCAGATCTGCTTGGGGCCTTGCCTCTTCTTATGACATCAACATATGGCAACCCCACTCTGACAGAATCAAGTCTCAACATATTATTACCTATATTTGCTATTATTTAACATTTCATTGGCGATCTAAAGTAGCCGAAAGTAGAAAACAATCATTGTCAGTCTTGAAGGAAAGTTCTGCCTTCTAAGACAGACTGAGCTCTGCCATTTAAGAAGGTTACAAAAAAAAGTCTCAATTTCTTTTTATTCTTTTTATTAAGATCTGAGGGCAGGGAGGACAAATGGGACATCTTAAAAAATGACTTTCGTAGTGATTTTAGACAAATAAAACAGTTATTCTACTTGTAGGGAACGAATGGTCGTTGTTGACACGACCACCATTAGCCTCCCGCAATGCAACACATCTCCTTCTGATAGAGTAGATCAGGTCGTCCGACTCTCCTTCTTGGCTAACATTACTAAGACAGTACTGCCTCGAGAGGCGGGGACTCCTGAAAGGTCGCCAATCACAGTTGGTTCATTTTCTCAGGTTGGTTCTTTCCCTTAAAGTGACATAAGGCCACAGAAATGGGTCCACAGGTGAGGAAAGAATCTAAAGGTGGATAAAAATCAAGAGAAGGAGCTCATGGCTGACATATTGTGGGGCACATGCTACTAAATCTGTACATATAAAATGGTTACAATGCACATGGAGAGGAAGTTAAGTGTGTGTTTTAAATAAAACTGCTACTATAACATTATATTACGCACTTTTGGTAGTAAGTAGGGCAGAAATATGACATTAATGACCAGCAGAGCATTGGGGGTTCCTCTGATGGTGTACTGTCTCTGTCAGAAGAAACGGACCCTTCAGCAGGAGCAGATGAGTTTTCGCTTCAAAGAGAGGATCAAGTCTCACTGTGCCGCCAACAGGGACGAGCAGGTACTGCTTGTAGACGTGACCCAGAGCGACCCGCTGGGCCCTCCCCTGTCCTGAGTTTTTAGGAGACAGCTGTTGTGTCCTGTGGCTGCAACCGTCTTCGGCAGCGTCCCTGTAGCGCCTCGGAGCTGCATGTGATCGATAACGAGCTGCACCTCGTGAATGGCTCCCATTGATGGGCCTGAGTTCAGCCTGCTGCTGGCTGTTTGCTGACTGAGCACTTTGTGCAGCTGATCCCAGAAAGTTCCAAAAACATCAACAATTAGTGTTTAATTTTATCTTCAGCTGCTTCCAGCAAAACTGACGACTCAAATTCAAAATGTGCAGAATAATCTGGACTGGTCGTCTGGAGTCAGATGCAGCCTGAGCTCAGGGAAGATTTAGTTTGTGATCCTGCTGTTCTAGTTGTGATTGTCCTCATGTCCCCCCGTCCATCTGTCTGTATGTGTGTCCAAAGTGTCTTCGGATGTACACCGGTGGAGTGAGCTCATTGGCGGAGCAGCTTAACCGCCGTATTCAGCAGCAGAGCAGCTTGGTAAGAAGGTTTCCTCACAACAGATGGAGGGGAAATACTCAGGAAATATCAGGTTTATTTTATTCAAACCTAAATTAGACTTAAGATAAGAACTCTGAGCTCTGATGAAAGGCTGTATTTATGTCAACATTAGCATAGAAAGGATGCAGAGACGTAGGGATCAGACACTGCACCACTGTAAATCAATCAAATTCTACTGCAGTGGTCCTGTGGTAGCTCTGGAGGAGCTGCAGGGATCCAGAGCTCAGGCAGATCAAACAAATGTGACCTTTTTGGAGAAAAGTGTCAGAAATTGTGACATAAATTGAAGTTTATGAATGGATTGAGACAAAATGTTCTTTAAAGGTTTTGTTTCTTGAATCTCTTTGAGTTGTTCTTTAATAGTTTGTCTTCTGCCCTAATTTCCTTCAGTTTTCCCTCTTCTTTAAAATCTTCCTTCGTCTTGGTTTCGTCGTCCTCCAGTTCTACTTATGTCCAATCAGCGTGTCTCCATCCCGGCAGGTCCCCGTCGGCAGTGACGTCTGTTTCTTCTGTAAGCAGAAGGTTTATGTGATGGAGCGTCTGAGCGCCGAGGGGCTGTTCTTCCACCGCAGCTGTTTTCGTTGCGCCTCCTGCAGCGCCCCCCTCAGGCTGGTTTCCTACACCTACGACCAGGACAGCGGTCAGTTCAACAATGATAGAGTTTATTTAGACTGAGCGTAGAGAAAGCTCAGATGTAACGATGTCCTCAAGATGATCAGGATCTCAAATCTGTGAGGAGTCAGAGTGGAGGAACTAGAAGAGCATCCAGAACCAGCCTGAAAGTCTTCCTCTGTCTCACAGCAATCGATCAGTTCAGTAGGCCGTAGATTTCTCAGACCTTAAAGGCTAAGGCTGTTCCAATACTTTCCTGACATGCTGCCTCACCAGGATCTGCTTTTCAATTGCAAATACAATCTAGAAAGAAGAAAAAATGTCTTAAATTAGGTGTTTACCCTTCATCTAAGTAGGTAAATAATGTAACAAATTTTTTACTCTTAAATTAAGATAATTAGACAATATACACTTGAAATAAGACAATGCAATTGTTTTTTTCCTATTTTAAGTGTAAACTGTTGCATCAGGAAAGTGTCTCATTTGCCACCTGAATTCAAGAATAAATTCACGTCTTTTAAGAAAAACTACTCATTGAGATTAACATTTTTTTTATTGTCCAAACTGCCGCTTTACTTCATGAACCTAGAAAGTTCTTGACAAAATTCCAGTTAAATTGCCAGACCTTGTAGCATTACTAAGTAAACTAGCAGAACATGTTCCAAGAACTTTCTCCCCCAAACTAGCGCTACGTTCAGACCGCACGCTGCAGAGGCAGCAGAAGCAGCTAGTAGACATGTAAAGTCAATGGTTGATGCGCATCAAGACGCAGCAGAAGATCCCGCAGCGCGTCTGAGCATCTGATGTGCTTCAGAAGCAGCATTTCCTGGAGTTGGAAAAGTTTAACTTTTGCTGCTTGACTTGCCATATCAACCAATCAGAGAGAAGCTCCGCCACATGACGTTGCTGCTCCAATGCGGGACAGTAGGTCGTCAAACTGGGCTCGGGTAAGCGAGGATAGTGGAAAGCTCTCCATAAACTGAATGCCTCTGAATTATCTGTTGAATCCAGATACAGTGGCCCGACGGCGGCATTTTCTAGCTTTATTTATTAAAATAAGCCGAGCAACTCTCTCCATTTCATCCGCCATAGTTACAGCCAAAGAAAGGATAGGGTAGCTCCACCCAGCCCGCATTAGACCCACTTCTCGAACGCATAGATAGAGCAGCAAAGATGCTTCAGCTGCACGTATGAACTAACAGGTACAAGCATAAAAAATGAAGCAGCACCTACGTTTTTCCTGCCAATAATGCATACGGTCTGAACCTAGCATTACAATCCACAGGTGTCTGTTCCAGATTCACTGCAGTAAATAAATCTCCTGACTTTTGTGGTACTTTCACTCCCTTAGAGGATCCTCTACCCAGAACCCTCAGGGTACCATTCAGCGTGTTTACCAAAAACCTACAGGATACTTCACCTGTGGTACCGGGTACTTTTTCACTTTAAAGGTTACTTTTCCAAAAACCAACAGAAACATTGGCTGGATGTTCAGAGTACTTTACCAGAACCCTGTATGTTCTGACTGTGTTTTTCTTGAATTCTTGATACATCCTGGAAGTTTGGGAAATTATTTACACTGCAAAACATTGAAATCTAAATTAGTCTTTTTTTTTTCTTAAAATAAGTGCCTTTTTTCTTGAATTGAGGAGGTGAGTGAGACACTTTGCAAATAGAACAAGACAATTTAAAATAAGAGAAAGCAATTGCATTGTATTATTTGAAGAGCACAGGCTCGGGCTGGTAAACTGTGATGCCGGGCATTTGCCTGGTGGGCCGGTCCTAATTTCAGCGCACGAGGGCCGGCCCGCCTTAAATCATACCAAAAACTTTCTCTCTGTCCCAAGCACCTACCTGTGACAGTAAATAACTGAAGGAGCTCAAGAAATTAATCCAATGTTAACTACCTAAATGATGCATGCAGTATATATAGCCCTTCCTGGTCATGCACATCCCTGTGACGGTTGGCATATGGGGTCATTTTCTATTTCCTTAAAGTGTAAAATTCTTGCAGCAAACTAAATTATAATAAAACTAAAATGCTTTCTTTAAACCAAACTACGATGTTCCTCTTATATTTGGCGAATTTATGTTCGAATATTTTGCAAAAATATTTTGTGGTGCATGATGGGGTTTTACATCTGAACGCTAATGTTTGCCATCTTACGTGTATTGTTGACGAGCCAACTGACCTAGACTAGAGTTACTGGCTTGTATCATGTTAAGTTACTGTGGAAATTTCCTCCATGGCCTCAAACCTGCAGCTTTGAACCTCAGCAGTGACCTGAAGCTAAAGTTAAAACCTACAGCCATGTTAGACCCTCAGTTTGTGCTTTTAGTTCTGAGTCTTTGCTTCATGTTTTCTTTGTTGTTGTTGTAAATGAAGAAATGTCAAAGCAGCAGCCAGCAGCTGTTTGAGGACCTGCAGGCACACACTCATGACTGCGGTCTGCATTTTTTATCCGAACATCAACGGAACCATAAAGCTGCTTTATCTGCACCGTAATGTTCAACAGAGGGCCAATGTTCAACATGACATCGGATTAACTGCAGTGATATGATAAGACTAAAGAATAAGAACTGCAAACTTAAGCATTTTCCAGCATGTACTGTTAAACATGCTGAACTCTGAGCTAAGATTTGAATGTAGACTCAAAAACATGAAAAATGTAGCTTTATTCTGAGATCAGTTCCTGGATCTGATGATCTGCTGATCTTAGAAAGTGGGCGTCCATTCGTCCGTCCGTCCATCCATCCATTCATCCGTCCGTCCGTCCATTCGTCTGTCCGTCCGTCCGTCCATTCGTCCGTCCGTCCGTCCATTCGTCTGTCCGTCCGTCCGTCCGTCCATCCATCCATCCAATAGAATAAATATCACATGAATGGTTCCTCCAGAAATCCCTCTCAGGCCACTTTTACTCCCCATGTTCTTGATCCCCCCCGCTCACATTATTTAGTACTTCAACATGTTAATATTTTATGACGGAGTATTAGGGCCAGGCTGGAAGTTTTTTGAGAAAAAAGTCATTATATTACGAGAATGAAGTCATAACATTACGAGAATAAAGTCATCATAACACAACCCGTTTCAGAAAGAAAGCTTCAAGCTCTGACCAGCATATGACGGCCGACCACAAATCAGCAGCCACTTTGACATCCTGCCTAATTTGATGCTGGGGTGCTAAAACTAGTGTTGTGCCGATGCCATTTTTTGGCCCGATACTGATGCCCGATACCTGGCTGTGCAGTATTGGCCGATACCGATACAATCTGTTTGAAAGGGATGTGTCTATATGGAGACCTGCATACTACTTGGATGTAAAATAATTGCCATCATGGCTTTGTCAAGCTGCTGCCTACCTTTGGGAAGCAGGAAAAAGACTAAAACAAAGTGAATCCACTAGAACTTTTTATTGCCTACCTGGAATGACAGACAATAGTTGAATAAACTTTTGGCTCTCAAAATGGTATCAGTGCCCTATTTGTTGGTACTCGCTGATACCGATACCACCATTTTACTGCTGGATCAGGGCCCCGGCTGATACTGGTATTGGTGCAACACTAGCTACAAGATTTCCTTATTTGTCAAACCAGAGCCAAAGTATAACTTCACATTATGCTCAACATTCCTATTTTTCAGGAAAAAAGTGCTTCTTGTAAGAGTTGTCACAAAATACAATTATATACTCGTAATTTTACAACTTTATTCTCGTAGCGTTAGGTGTTCACTCCTGGTTGGCTTCAGATTAATGTAGATGTGAATATTTTTAAGGCCAAACATTTCAACAAGGTTAAAGTTTGAAACTTACTCAGATTTTAAGCTAAAAGCTGCAGCAATGTTACCATAAGAGTGAAACATAATCTAATTTCTGTCCTATTTGGGTTTAATTGCCGTTTTACACCGATTTGAGCTTCAGAAGCTCCAACTGGACCTGCATTAAGATTTTTGCAGCACCTGATTTCTGCCTAGCTTCTGCAGAGCAGAGTTGTCCGGAATCGATCTGCACATTGTGAGAGGCAGCTTTGAGTCTTCCTGCTGCCTAATTCCCATTTCTACTAAAATTATCTGTTAGCGGTCACATGTTGCTGTCATGTAACCAGCCTGCAGCCTCCTCTCTGCACATCTGGGAGGTTTTTATCTGCAGATCTTCACTGACAGAGATGTTATTGTGCGTCTAAAACCGCAGCAGCCAACGGGGCGCAGAGGTCACATGACCCGGGTTTGAAGTAGAGGCAGAAGTCTGTATAAAAGCCGTTAAGCTCAGTCCTGCGCTGCTGGATGGTGGGTCCTAACTCTGTCCACCTTCTCCTGTCTCTGCCAGGGAGCTTTCACTGTCTGCAGCATCCTGACTGTCAGCTGGGGGCTCCCACCCCAAGGAAGAGGCTGACTCCCTCTGCGTCGCTTGGAACATCAACGGTGAGCAAAAACCCAGAGTCTGACTGCAGGACCATCAGCAGATATTGTTCCTGATGATTGCCATGGTTACAGAAGATGGATCCCACTATGCGCCTCAGTGTTCGTTCATCTTTTTTCTGATTGATATGAATTAAAATAATGCTTCCCTTTTCCAGCCGTCGCTGTCTTCAGCTCCGTCCCTCTCCGACTCCCTGAGCGAACGCCGTCGTTCTTCAGGTGAGCTCGCCTCACCTGTCCCGTCAGTCTTCATACGTGTTCACACCGAGGCCGCCCCTTTAAAAAACCGAATCAATGTGGGCTTTAGTGTGTTTGTGTTTGTGTGTGTGTCTGTGTGTGTGCGTGGCCGTGTTGGTGTGTCTGCAGCTGCTTCTGTGATGGCGGCGACGCCCGAGAGGATCGAGCTGGAAAACTGCAGGGAGGAGCCTGAGGAGGTTTCTGAGGAGGTTCTGAACCGGTTTAACCTGGACGTGGATGGAGGGGTTCATGTCAGGTGAGGCGAGGGCCGGAGGGTACGGAAAGCCAACAGGGCCGAGAATATACTAAAAAATATGGCTAAAATTTTTTATTTTTTATTTTATTTATTTTTTATTGCAAATAAAGAAAATACAGGGAAACATAGAATATTAATAATTACATTAGGTTACATCATTAAAGGGTTTTACAGAATATAGAGCAACTATTTTACAATGTCAAAATCAAATCTGTACGTGAGGGATGCAATTCTTTAAGGGCAGTTATCATTTGAATTCTATGTAGATATTAATAGAGGATAATAAAATCTGGATTTTTTGTTGTTGTAAATATTTGGAGGTGTGAATATGATATTTACCATAAATAATAAAAAAAAGTTAACAACGTATAAATATTCTGTTTTGACAAGTTCACATTTCTCCATCCGAAAACAAAACTTTAACCGTTAAAGTAATACTGAGATTTCGTTGATGAAAAAAAATTTACCAGAATATTTTGGTATAATTACAATCCCAAAAATAGATGAATAAGCTTTTCTTCATTATATTTACAAAAAGTACACATCAGGTCCAAATCCCATTTATATCTTTTTTATCAAAAATACTTTAACAGGATAAACAATATGAATAACTTTATACAAAAAATTATCTTACTTTATTGTTTATTAAATATTTTTTAAGGAGCAACCAAGTCCAATTAAATGCTGGACCACTAAAATATACAAGCTGGTGAAAAAACAGCATCTCATAATAAATTATTTCTTAACCTTTTGTTGGTTGTTTTCTTACTTAGAAAAAGACAATCATAATCAATATAAATGGAGTTTGGATCAAAACTTGGCAGTGAGTGAATTTAAGGTGTCGATAAAGATGATAAAAGCTTTAATGACCGACTGGGGATCGCGTCAAAGACAACAGCATTTTCTTTAGGGATAACAGGAAATTGGAAAAGTAAAATAAAGCCACATTAAGACAATAAATGACCATTTGGATTTAGTTATTGGCTTACAAGTAATATCCCTCTATCAAACCATTTTCTGTAAAATATTGTCTTATTTTTGTATTTAATGTCTTCATTATTATTGCTAAAATGTTGTAGAACAACTTAAAAAAATCTGATTTAAAATAAGAAAGCTGTTTATTTGTTAATTTGTTTGGCATAAAATTTACTCCAAACTAACTTTTTACATTGTATTCAACCACAAAAACAACAAAATAAAGTTCTTTATTTATTAAATTATTGCTTCTCTAAAATAGTGCATATAATTACACTACAAGAAGATTTTTTTTTTATTAACAGAAGTTTTTACAGAATATTTATGGTGTATAGCAAGTATTTACAGTTATACTGAAAGTTATATTTTATTAAACAAAATTATCAATATATATAGTCTTACAGGCACACCATACAAGGAAGATGATTTTTGATTTTTAACACTAAAAGAAAACAACGAAACAAAATATAACACAAACTTTTCCCCTCCCATCCTCCCTTTCTCATATGGTTCTTAATATCCTTCCATTTCTGTACGCAACGCGTCCATCTGAGCACATTTATATCTGTATAATTCAACATATTACTATCAAGTACATAAATGAGGAAGTTATATAAGTTGAAGCTGGTCCAAGAAGGCTCACTTCACCATAGACAGCTGGGTCCAGAGAGGGGCCCAAGATTTTTTTCATAGATTGCATGTTTTCCTCCAACATTATACACTGGAAAAATTGTCTAGAAATAAGTAAAAAATTCTCAAATTAAGGGTATTTACCCGCAATTTGAGTTGGTAAATGAGATAGTTTGCCAATTGAATGAGTGTTTTTACTCTTAATATAGGATAATTAGATAATATGCATTTGAAATAAGACAATGCAATAGTTTTTTTCTTATTTTAAATATAATTTATCCCGTTCCATTGGTAAAATGTCTCATATTACTCCTCAGTTCAAGAAAAAATTCACTTATTTTTAGAAAAAATTACTTATGTAGATTAATAATTTTTGCAGTGTTTATTATCTTTTCAGATGTTCAGTAAGAAACAAGCTCATTACTGTCAATTTTATGTTTGCTGTCAAGAGTATAATATGTCCTATCAAATATATTTAAACTGAATTTGTTTTGTGGAGGTTAGCACAGTCTGTGCCTACCACAGGAAAATTTAAAAGAAAATCAAATTTAATGTGGATTACTAAAAAATGAAAAGGTCATAGCTGCTACTTTTAATCAAAACAAATATAAAAAAAAAAAAAAAATACTTCCACCAAGTGCTTAAAGTGGTGAAAAAAAAAAAAGTATATGAATATATATTTACTTTTGGCTATGATGCCGAAATGATTCTTCACCGAATCTAAAAATAAGTAAACATTCCTTAAAGTTTGTGTTTTTTGTCCTTAGTTTGAGCAGATAAATAAGATGATCTGCAATTGAATGAGTATTTAGAGACAATTATATTTTATGCACTTCAAAAAGGATAATGACATTTTAAACATAAAGCTTAATGTTTTGGCAAATTGTCTTTTTTTCTGCTCAAAACAGATGAAAATACACTTAAGTCATACAATCAGAGAAATAAACCCTCTTTTTTCATTTGTTGCAAACCTTTCTGGAGATCATGTAGACTTTATCTTTCCAGACACTGAATTTACATGGAAATAAAACCATTATGAAATACAAGCCAATTTTTTTCCCTGTCTAAATCACAGTTTTATATAAACCTTTTTAAAATGTAATTTTCAATTAGTAAATTGATGCTTTGGTGAGAAATAATCATAAAAAATTAGATGCATTTCTGAGCCAAAAACTTTATTAATGTTGTAGTTTTTTATTATTTATCCTTGTGTAGAATTTTCACTCTTTTTAAGAACAGTAGAAAGTAGGGGTGTAAATCACACCCATCATGGCGATTCGATTCAGTGTCAATATCCTGTCCCAACAATTTGATTATTTTACTCAAGAATACACCACGATTCGATTCAATTGATTGATTTTTCTTTTTACCTTACAGGCTAGACAATGTTTCATATTTGAAATAAATCAATGAAAGCTTTAATATCATTATGCATTTTATTTGAGAAACAACAGCAAATGACAGAAGTAGCAAAGTTGTACTGCCCATGAAAACCTCATTCACTGAAAAATATTTGTGTTGTAGCGAGTGTGTGTGTGCAAGCGGAAAGAGGGGAGTGGCTAAAGGAAGCGAGGTTGGAGGGCGAAATATGTTTAGCGCCACCGCAGCACGGAGTCAGAATCACGTCCAGGAGCAAATGGATAAAAATAGACCAGAGGAAAAAAACCAAACATGAATCGATGCGTGTCGATGCATTGGATCGTCGGCTGTTGGATCGATACATCGATATAAAACGATTATTATTATTTACACCCCTAGAAAACAGTAAAACTGGTGTTAAATTTTATGCTAAATCTTTTGTTAAACTTAAATCTAAATTAAATTCATTAAAGCTTTAATTGGGACTGTGCTTCCTGCTTCCAGTTCAGAGGAAGAGGAGGGTGGAGAAGGGCCGGGCTGCGTTTCCTCACAGGAGGCGACAGCTCCGTGGAGAGATCCTCCGCTCCCCCGGAAAAGTGAGGAGCCAAAGGAGGTGGAGGAAGAGGAGGGAGAGGAAGGCAGCACTGAAGACGAGTCCAGCGACGGTGAGTTCAGCTCCTGTTTAAGGTGTGCGTAGAAGTGTGTGTGTGTAGCCTTTTGTGATGTGCTCTATGTCGCCCCCTGCTGGTAGAGGGGGAGTACAGCCCGTGGGAGACGGAGCGTCGCTCGGGTCTGTGGCTCCTGTTAGAGGAGGAAACAGGTAGAACCAGAACAACCAAACCAAACGATCATTTTAAAAAGCCTCCATGTCTCATTCCAGTTTATAACTAATGCACCTCATTGCTTTATCAATAATAACCATTAATCAGATTTAACACATTTTTTAACAGGCTTTGATTATTTTAATCAGAGGTCTTCAACAGGGGGTCCGCGACCCATAGGGGGTCCATGGAAGTACTGCATGGGGGGTCACGAAAGTTTTGGTTGATTAGACTGCAATTTTTTCCACTTATTAAAATGTCTTTAAAGTTGTAGGGAAATTATATTTAAATGTGAAATCATTCTGGCTTAAACATGTATATCTTATACTCTTTATTAGATGATATTGTCCCAAAGTTTAGAAAATTTCTATTTAAAAAAAAATCCTGTCTTAAAATCTGTGTTTGTTTTCGCTATCTTCTGCAGACCAGTTAGTTATACGTCAGCCTGAACACCTAAATTCGGCCAATCATATATCAACGGTCATCTGTCAATCAAATTTTTTCAGTCATAGCATCTTGATTCATATGTCGCAGCTAATATACACAACGGTTGAAATAAGAAATAAGAATCCTTTCCTTTCCCATTGAGTTGCATCCCAGTGTTCACGGGGATGGACGTCTGTGTCTTCAGCAGGCGTAGAGCTAACAGAACTGGCAGCGTTGCGAGGCAAGGGCTCAAACATGTACGGCTGGAAGCCTTCTACACCAAACCAAGCTTCTGCCGCCCTGGGGTCCTCTTCCACAACATCTTCATCCCCGCTTTCCTCCTCTAAATAAAAAATGGATGACGGAGGAGACTCATCCACGACCTCCGACACTAAACTCTCCTCCTCTTGCATGTTTCCTCTGTCCATAGCGTTCCTTGACAGTGTCGTTTCTAAGTCACCAATTTAGTGCTACTTGGTCCCAATGGAATTTCCCATTGGGAACCTACTAGCACTAAGTTGCTAACTGGTTAGCAAGATGCTTCCGACAAACCGGCCACAACCAAACATGCATGCGAACCTTCAGCCACAACAATCCCGCCCTCTTGTTAAACGACCAATCACATTCACTTGGAACAGCCGTTTGCCTACGACCTTAAATCCACATTAACATGAATTCAACACACTGTAGTAAACAGATAAATGGAGGCAGAAGATGTCTTTCAGTCATCAATGCTCACATTCAGCTAAACACCTGTCCCATCATACAATATATATATCGCCATCAGTTTGGGGGTCCTTGGCCTGGAAAACGTTGAAGACCTCTTATTTTAATAATGCTTTTTAAATGAATACATTTTAATCCTGCAGTTTATTGTTTTTAATATTTTTTTCATAATACTTTGTCCTGAAATACTGATATTTGACTCTGGGATATAGACCTAGATCAGTCTCAAGTTTCACCCAAAAAAAGCGCACTGTGCTTGTATTAATCCTGCTGTGCGTGTTTGAATCTTGTCCTGTGCATGTATAAATTATATATGTGTGAAAATTGAGGCTCCATACTGGGATATATTTGGATTTATTTTCTCAATTTTTGTCCTTTATTCTTATTTATAATGGCTTCCATTTTCTTTTCTGCTTAATATTAGTTTGTTTCTCTTTTCATCAAATCATTTATGGGTTTTACTCCTTCTTCCTGGTCAGAGGAGGAGTCTGTGTCTCTTGCCTCAGACACACCTGTGCAACGTGGCTCCGCCTCCACCCCACAGCCCTGCATCTCCTCCCCTTCACTCCCCCCTGGGACGCCCTGCATCGCTTCCTTCGCCACATCAGATGACTCCACTCCTGATTCAGACGTCGCCAGAACGCCTCTTTCCCCTGTCGTTATCATGGAGGCGACAGCACAGAAACGACCTACAGCAAGGGGACGGAGCTCGTTTGATGACATCACACCTGAACTGCCACAGAAGAAGCCCCTGCTCCAGCAAGAGGAAGAGGAGGTGTCAGATAGCATGAGGAGGAGACAGAGGCACAGAGAAGCTCAGAGTCTTCCCTCCAGCCTCCTACCACCAGGTGGAGCCCTCCTCCTCCACATCAAAGAGAAGCTCAGAGAGGCTCCTCCCCCTAGGCAGGTGGAGGTCAGTGGAGGCGGAGCCAGAGGCCTGTTGAAGTCGGTGCTTCCTGGAAACATGAAGGACCAGAAAAGAAGGGGCGGGACTTTACCTGCAGAGAGACCAAGGAGGCCTCCAGCCAATCAGAGGAGAGTCACAGGTGACAACGCAATTACAACGGAGTGATGTCACAATGAGGATATAATAACTTTACTTCCTCTTTCCCAAAGTTGCAGGGGAGGAGTCGGATCTGGTGTCGTCAACTCTGCTGCAGAGATGCTCGCAAAAACCCAGGAACAATGTAAGCAAACACCTGACACCAACCAGCCAATCAGGGCAAAGAACAGCGAACCAATCAGAAATCACCAAATTTAGCAGTTTGTTACGTGAACAGTCAGAGGGAACAGACCATCTGAATTCCCTCAGACTGTCGTGTCATAAAAACACAGGTCAGACTAACACCTGAAATGCGCCTCTGACTAAACTTTGGGCTCGTGATGTTCACAGCTGCAGGTGGAGTTGTTTGGCCTCGTGTCTGAACTTGATAAAGTTACCGTGGAGGAAGATGAGGAGGAAGAGGACCAGCAGGTACGGTCTATGCTAGCTGACTTTGTCCAGAGGTGTGTCCGAACGTCCAGCCTAACCCCGAGTCCCTCCATCACTTTATAAAGCAGGACTATATAGTGGATTTATAGTGAACTCAGTTAACTGACCGTTTAGACATATGATCACTACTTTTCACCCCCCCATTGGTCATGTAACTCCGCCTCCCCGGATGGTGCCTGCCCCATCTTTGTTATTTTTCACCGCTGTCAGGTAGCAACAGTGGGCCGCTGTGACAGAAAATCCCATGATGCTTTGCGAGAAAAGTTCTCCTTTCAAAGCATCATGGGATATATCTGCCCTTCCAGTGACCATTTATGATCAGTACGTTTCAAGATGCTAGATCCGGCCACTAGACCAGGGGTAACCAATAAAAAATCGGAGGGGTCCGATTAAAGAAAATCATCAACTAGTAAAGGTCCGGAGACATTTTTTTACTTGTTGTTTTTTTACTAATTGTTTCTTTTAAGAGACACTGAAATAAAATGAGGTGTTTATGCATCCATGTTATACACTGACTTTTTAAATAAAAATATAAAAAAACTGTCAAGTGCCTTGAGATGACATGTGTTGTGAACTGGCGCTATAGAAAAAAACTGAATTGAATTGAAATGAAAATTTTTTTTACAATTTCAAATCTAAAGTGTTTTTTGAAGTAGATCCGGACCCTGGTCCCCTAATCCGTGACCTCTTCTCTAGACGTTCGGACACTCATCTGAAATGGTGTAACCACTACATAATGCCTAGTGGTTAGGGCGGACATTCGGACACAGTCATGGACTCGGGATCGACATAAAACCAAACATTTAGTTTGCTAGCAGCATCTTTTCCATCACGTTGATGGTTTCCTGTCACCCTTATGTCCACTTCCTGTCTCTCAGCAGGTCTACGTTCCTCGGGCTCTGGCGTTTAGACGATCATATGGAGTCAAGGTGCAGATGTCTTGTTTCCCAGCAAAGATTTCTGATCCAGGAATCCATGTTCTGTCTAAACTGCTGTCCTTAATCTGGTTTAGAGGAAACCCCAGAGGGAGCGAGTCCAGGACTCTGACGGACAGTCCTCGTGCCCCACAGAGGTGGTGGGAGTCCTCACCCGACCCAAGGAACCGTCCAGTTTGAGCACGAAGGAGTCCATGTTCCAGAAGGACCAAGAGGACAAAGATGAAGACCTGGACACTAAAATCACTCGACGGGTTCAGAGAGCCGCCAGGAGGCAGGCCAAGAAGGAGCAGCTGAAGAGGCTGCACAAGGCTCAGGTGAGTGTCCCTGAGGACAGCGGTGGTCCAGACCTGACCAGAACCAGAACCTTCAGTCTGTCTGTTTCAGATGATCCAGAGGCAGCTGCAGCAGGTGGAGGTGAAGCAGAGGGAGCTGGAGGAGAGAGGAGTGATGGTGGAGAAAGCTCTGAGAGGAGAAGCAGGTGAGCCGAGATGATTAAAACCCAATCAGAACCTCCTGTTACTACCTGAACCACCTCGACCTTTTATGTTTTAACCTTATGAACTCATCTGGACCCTAATTCTTCTACCAGAACCTATAAACTCATCTGGATTTCACCTGACATTTGCTGTTTTAACCCGACTCTACTGATGTGATCTCATCTTCTTTTACTGAAACCTTCCATCAGCTTCTCTGGTTAGGGCCCAGTTAGACCTTGCCGATTTAGCCAACGTATGCCTGACGTCCCAGAATCTCCTAAAACGCTGGCATACGCCAAACTTTATACGTATTTTTTTCAATTTTGGGCGTATACATAGCGTATTCATAACGAGTCCAGAACTTAGGTCCAACGACAGCCTAACTTATGCATAACGCACGGCAGAGCTGCTCCAGAGGGTAGCAGCGATGATACTGGCCGCCGCCAAAAAAGAAGAAACTAAAAAAAAAAAGAGAGAAAGGAGGTCTGCAGTCGCAGCAGATTCAGCATCATGTCAGTTAGGAAGTTTGTTGATTGTGGTCGTGAACGCATAGAGGATCCTTCACAATCACCTTCTCACTCCCCCTATGATGGGGATGAAGTCAGGAGGAGAAGTTATTCTAAGATTTGGATAAGCTGGATGCCACGACTTAAGAGTAACTTACACTTAACGTATGTCAACGATCAGATAACTTAGCTCTAACTTATGGTCTATGTATGGCATACGCTGGCATATGTTGGGCAATTTTTAGCATGCTAAAAAAGTTCTTGACGACTCGCCGTATGTCGATGTGTGCCAGCGTGTTTCAGCGTACTTCAGCATGCTCATAACTTATACAAACCATACCCATGACTTATCCAATGTATGCCAGCATTTTGGCAGATTTACCGTACGTCAGGCATACGCAGGCTAAATCGTCAAGGTGTGACATTGGCTTTACATGCTTTCTTTCTGACCAACCCGTTTCCCTTGAAACACACCTGAACATATCTGTGGTGGGAAAAAATCTGTTTAATTTTTGCTTTGGGTAGAGAGGTGTTTTGACTCTGACACAACCTTCAGCATTTCAGTCATTGTAGGCAAGGAAGACAAACTCTGGCCAGATCAGAACAGGGCTGATTACCATGCAATATGATGCTGTATGATGTTTTGTTCTCTCTTTTTAAAGATGAAATAAAATTCAGACTGAGTGAAATCCTCCGAGCTCCTTTGATTTAACTAGAATGAATAGTTGAATACTTTTTTCCCATGACAGTAGCGCAATCATAGACTGAACATTTCGTATCTCTGCTTCTGTCTTCTTGAACCCCAGTCGGCCTCAGCAGATGGCCGCTCACACTGAGCCTGGTTCTGCTGGAGGTTTCTTCCTGTTAAAGAGAGTTTTCCTCTCCACTGTCGCTACAATGATTGCCTTCGAGTCAATGAGGCCTATAGATAAAAACACTTTTAAACTATCTGACTGGATGATCTGGTTGAATTATGTCTATAAAGAGCCTTCAGTTGACATTATATGTATTGGTGCTACATAAATAAACTGAAGGAATTTATCTGATTGGTTGTTTTTTAATCTTTGATTTATCTGCCTGATATTGAAGCATCAAGCCCAGAGAAGCCGTGGATTAAACACTGTATTGCTTTTTAACCTGTTTCCTACCTGAATCGTCCTAAATTCAACTCTTTCCTGCTCCTGACAGACTACTGGGAGGATTCCAGCTGTGGCCCAGACATGGAGCTTCACCTGGGAGGTCAGATTTCTTTCAGAGTGGAACTGTTTTCCCACGAGGATGAAATAAACATCCCGATAGGAGCAGGTGTTTAAATGTGCTCTGTGCCTGCAGGACTGGGTAAACTGGATAATCTGGCTCTGATGCAGCAGTGGTTCCAGCTGGTCCAGCAGAAGAACTCCCTGGTCCGATACGAATCTGAACTCATGATATTGTGAGTATCTCGGACTGTTTGAAGACGCTCCCGCAGCAGAACCTGCTGGACCTGAATGTTGTTCTGGTTTTAGCGCTCGGGAGCTGCAGCTGGAGGACAGACAGAGCCGCCTGCAGCAGGAGCTCAGGGAGAGGATGGCTGTGGATGGTGAGGAGGCCCGAACAGAACCAGAGCGCTGATCCAAGGAGGGCGAGCTCCAGCTTACGGTCTGTGCCGACTGTTTCAGATCACCTGAAGGATGAGGAGCAGCTGGCTGAGGAGCGGCTGATCTTGGAGGAGATGCTGGAGGTGGTGGAACAGAGAGACGCTCTGGTGTCTCTGCTGGAGGAGCAGCGGCTGCTGGAGAGGCAGGAGGACCAGGACCTGGAGCAGGTTCTGGTAGCAGGAGGACTGGGACTCAGCTGGACCTGAGGAAACTGGATCCGGCTGGAATTCAGATGATCACGCAGAAGCAGAAACTGAATCCAGTCGGACCTGAACTGGACTTGATGAGGCTGCTGGTTGTGGCTAAAAGTGCGAACGTTTTTGTCTCTGCTGCTGTTTGCTGAATATTTCATGTTTGGGTGAAGGACTCAAAGCAGGTGCTTCTGGTCCAGTACCTGTAATGTTCACTGTGGCGCTGAACATTTACACTTCTAACAGAACCAGGACCCTAACAGAACCTCACTGACAGTAACATTTATCACACAGGTGGTCCAGATTAAAGCAGAGCATCCAGCTGATCCAGATATTAGAGACGTTCAAGAACTCTTACCTTTTCTTTTGAGTCTTAAAATTTACACTTTGGGTCCTGAAGCTGATCCAAAATGTTTCTGACCGTTTCCCAAAACTTTTCACCAAAGAAAGAATAAAAAAAACTCCATCTTTTTCAAACCTTCATCAACTGATAGAAGAAAATCACTAAAGTGGAATAATTATGAATTATTAGAAAAATGTAATTATTTAAATATTGATTATAACATTAAGATAAAAGGCTAAGTCTGATGATTTAATGAATCAATGACAGTAATTTATCTTCAGATGAAGGATAAATATGTAAAAAGAATAAAGATCCTGACCTTCTAGCTGGTATTGCTCCGCCTCCTATGATCACTGGCTCCTCCCCCCAGCAGGGTGACATTCCACGTCCCCAGAGCCGGTCTAAGCGCCCACGATTTGGTCTCTGAGGCCTCCATTTCTGACTGGCCCCTAATCCTTCTGAGCACCGGTCCCTCATGGCTCCCCCTGCGGGTGGGGGGTCCACTGGGGGATGGCCTCCTCAGGCTAGGCCCGGCCGGTTCCCACGACAAAGAACCAGACCACCAGGGGCCCCAGGGAGGGGTCCCGGCTCCGGGGTACCGGCTGACTGTAACCCCCCCCATCATGTTAAGGTGGCGGTTCGAGGACGGGATAAAAAATGGATCAGGGAGGAACTTATTTACCAAGTTCTCTAAATTATTTTAATTAGAAATGTATTAAAACAATTTAGAAAACTTGGTAAAAATATAAAAAAAATCATTTTAATGGGATTAAAATGCAAAACAAATCACATTAACGGGCTAATTTGTAATTTTATATAGTTATGCATTAAAATATTCTATTCTAAAAACTTTATGTGACTGAAAATAGATAAAGTAAAAATAATTGTAAAAACTAAAAGGTTTAAATAAAATGTACTAAAATAGAATAAAGTCAAACCCAAGAATAATTAAAAACCGATTAATCCCAGATTATTTCAGCTGAACATCTTCATTCTGGTTCTTCTGGGTTTAAATGGCAGAACCCAGCTGCTTCTCAACAGTTCAGTCGTTGTTAATGAATGTTTCTTTGCTTTTCCTTTGGTTAAAAACAGGAAGTTTTCAGATTCCACCTTAAATGAAAAGTGGAACCATGTTAATAAATCAGCTGGGGTGTGTTCAGGTTAAACCAAAAGCAGGGGGCGCTGGTTTCAGGCCTCCACAGATGAGGATGTGATGTGAGCTTTAGCTTCAGCCGCCTGCCTTATTTCCTCTGTAACCGGCTTGATCAGACTCCAAACAACCAGCTGATGGTTTTAACTTCTAATGTTTAATAAAAAGAGATTTTCAGCCAAAGCTTCATTAAATCTTTGTTCTTTTTCGTGCTCTATGAGTTGAACTAAGCAGAGAATGTTTTCATCCATTTCCTGTTTCTTTATGTTGAACGGATCCTCTTTGGTAAGCAGGTTCTGTACATGAAGTTCTGAAGTTTTGTTTCGGTACCAGTTACCTCATGTGAATTCAAATGTCCTACTGGAAGGAACATCCACATAGCATGATGCTGCCACCGCCATGCTTCACTTTCAGGAAATGAAAGACGCAAGATGACAAAGTTGGAAGTCATTTTGCTTTGAATAGATTATTTTTTTTCCCCCTTAAAGCCAATTAATTTCAGTTCATCCCTTAAAGCAGTGATTCCCAACCAGGGGTACCCGTACCCCTAGTGGCCCGAGAGTGCATTGCAAGGGGTACATGGAAATATTTTAGTTCTTATTCAGTAAAATAAAATAGAGCTGGGATCTATTTTGCATAGATCCCAGAAAGAATTGAAAAATTAAACAAGCTTTTATCAACCAAAAAGTTTTTCTTATATGTTTGAGTTCAGCTTCAGCTTTGAAACACATCCAAACCAAACAGAGGAACAGACTGGATGTAGAGAACAGCTGTTTTTCAAACTGAGCTATCTGAGACCATCAAAGCAGATCAAAGAAAACAAAGTAAAACTAAGTCAGAGTGAATAATTTTTGTTCTGTATTTTTCACCTAATTCATCAAGTTTAAATGTATTTATAAGGGAGTTACTCAGAGGAGCTCCAGCCTTATTAATACAGGTTTATAATAGGATTTTGTTTTGTATTTATTTAGATTCCTTCTGGGCAACATATTGTTTATTTGAGATGGAAAGCATAAAATGCCCAAGAATTAAATGTTCAAATTAAAACTTTTTTTTGTTGTTCTGTTATTGTGTGTGCCACTTTTGGACAATTATCAATACTTTTGTCTGATATTCATCTTCAGACAAAATGCCTAAAGGGGAACACAAGTCAAAAAAGGTTGAACACTCCCTTAAAGAAAAGCCTTCATCCTTTTTTTAACATTTGGCCCTTGATTTAGAGGCTTTTCCAGGCTGAAAATGTAAACTCATTTTAAAACATGTTGGTTTTTCTCTCTCTAAATTCATCACACATTTCCTAATTACCTCTTAATGAAGAAACAAACTCGGAAATATGAAATCACTGCCGAGGTCGGAGAATACGCCTCTTTGGAACCTTCTGGGAAAGTTCTGGATGTTGCAGTTTCCCTCTTTCTTCAGAACATTTCCTGTAATCGTTCCTGTTGCTTCAGGTTAACAGAAAACTGATGTTGAAACAGCTGAGGCCAGAGAGAGAAGAGCCAGAGAGGAGATATTCTGGTTTCTGGGTAAAGAGAAACCTAAGGAGGGTTAGAGCTGACTGACTCAGGTGTTCTACTGGTCTTCCTCCAGTTAGGATCTGGGTTTAATGGGATCAACGATCCATTTCCAGTTTCCTCTGTTCCTTATAAAACTGCTCCAGCTGAGTCAGACAGGATGGAGAAGTTTTAGCAGGATTAGCCAGTTTCCCAGTTGGATAGAGATCTGTACTTTGACTAGGCCACTCTAACACATCTGATCAGCATGCTCATGCTAATGCTACTGGTGCTTCTCTCCCTGTAAACCTGAGTTTAGAACAAACGACACGACTCAGGTTTCAGCTCACAGTTTGGCTTTTAATACAAACATTTTGACCTGACAGAAACGGACCCGGTTCTGCCGGTTCAGACCGGGTTCCTGCTCTCAGTGACCGCTGGCGTCCACCTTCAGGTCCTTTCCGACCAGTCCAGAGGTGACGGGATGCATGGCGGCTCGGTGAGCGACGAACACTCGGACGGCTTCTTCCCGGTACTTCTCGAAGGTAAAAACTTCCCTTTGGGTCGAACAGAAACAGAGACGGATTACAGGTGTGTAACAGGTACCGACCCAGAGTCTCTCTGGGGTTCCGCAGCTCCTAGAAGCATCCCTGATCCAACATGTCTGAACCAGCCTCATCGGGGTTCGGTCCAGGTTCTCCCAGTGACCCGGTTAAATCAGGCCCGTTGGAGCAGGGGAGACTGGAAAAGCTGCAGGACTGGTTCTGACCTGAAGAGTGGCCGGGTGAACTTCATCCTGCCCTGCTGCGTCGCCATCTTCAGCGCCAGGGGAACCGCCTCCTCCCACTTTGAGCGAACGCACAGTCTCAGCCACCTGGAGACACGGCAGCCAATCAGGAGGAAGCTCCACCTGGGAGGAGGAGGAGCTTAAATTACAGCGTCTCACCTGAAGCGGATCTCTGAGTTGGTCGAAGCGTTGAGGTTATAAACGTCCTGCATCTTCTTCACATGAGTCAGAGGAAGCGGCTCCTGAGGAGGAGAGCAGGGGTCAGAGAGGGGGAGGGGCCTGATCAGAAGGGGGAGGGGTCTGAGGAAACGTTGTGCTTTACCTCCTGCAGCAGCAGCGACAGGAACTCGATCACCTGGTGGGACGACAGGTTCTTCACCTCCGACTCGCTGAAGCCGCACAGGTCCTGTTCTGTGGCCTGAGGGCGACAAAGGGTTAAATCTGGGTCCCAAACATCCTTACGGCGCCGGATGGAGATGAGGAGCATCTGACCTTGATCCAGCGCTGACTCAGAGCGATGCAGGCGTCAGCCAGAGTGGAGTCATACCTGGAACACAACAGAACCCACCCATCAGGACCAGAACGGGACTCTGAGACGGGTCGGGCCTCCACCAGAACCCACTTACTGCGGCTGGACCGGGGGCATCCCAGGGGTGAACATCCAGGCGTTCCAGTCCACCTTGTTCAGGACGTCCACCTGAAGGACAGAAGGTTAGAAACTCCTAACAGAAGCAGCCAGTAACCTGGAAACTCCAGCCGCGTCCCCCAGGTCGTCTCACCTTGTCTTTAAAGTAGAAGAAGAGGTAGTTCTTCCAGTCGTCCGTGGAAACGCTGCTGTAGGCGAAACGCTGGATGTACGACTTTATGAACCCCATGAACACCTCTGAGGAGGACAAACCAACAAGGGCGTCAGAATACGACCAGAACCAGGAGGGTCTGCGTGTGGCTGGGTGTTACCTGGCCCTCCCAGCAGCTCCTCCAGGTGGTAGAGCAGAGCGAAGCCCTTCTCATAGGGCACCGAGGAGAAGGCATCATCAGGATCCACCTCCTGAAGGCTGGGGACCAGGTTGGTCAGAGGGTTGTCTGCTCCGAAGGTGTTTACCTGAAAGACAAAGGTGAGGGGTTAGAGGAAACACCCGCATAGTTCTGTCTGGATGTTCTGAACGGGTTCAGGTTCTCACCGAGTCCTGCAGGTCCTTCCAGCCCCCCCGGGCTTTAAACTGCCTGAACATCTCCCCCTCCATACACCTGCCAATCATCCTCTCCAGGTAGACCGTGTGACCCTCGTTCAGCCTGATGGAGCAGAAACCGCCTGAGCATCAACTCACACTGATTGGATCAGAACTCGTTTCCGCTCTGTTACCAGAAATGTTCCCAGGTCCTGTTGGTCACCAGGTTCCCGGTCCAGCTGTGGGAGATCTCATGAGCGATCACCTGAGGAACACAGAGACACCTGCTATGGAGCTCAATCAGGGCCAGAAGATTTAATTGATTTTTAAAATAAAAAAAAAAAAAAAAAAAAAAAAAAAAAAAAAATATATATATATATATATATATATATATATATATATATATATATATATATAAAATTTAAACAAAAAACTGAAAGTGAACAAAGATTAAAAACCAAAAAATATATATATATTTTTGAAATATGAAAAGATTCAAAACTGAAAAATATTTTTTTCAAAAGGAAAAAAAATGAAATATTTTTAAAACTGAAAGATTGTAACTGAATGAAAAAGTGAGATTGAAAAATTTTTAAACATAAAAAAAATGAAACAGATAAACATTTTTTTTTTTTTTTTAAACTGAAAAGGAAAAAAAAATCCAAACTGGAAAAGAAAGAAAGAACTGAAATCGAAAAAATATTTCAAACATTTTTAAAACCAATTTTCATATTTTTCAGATTCTAGTTTGATAAAAGCTGAAACTATAAGTTTATAAATATAAGTTTAAATCTTAAAGTATTTTTATTTATTTTAAGATCAACTTTTTTTTTGTTTCAAATTTTTTTTAAATTTAAAATAATTGTCTTTTAATGAAATCAAAAATTTTTTGAACAACTTTTATGGCACCAATTTGGCTCCATATGATCCTATTCAGGCCTCATCCGGTTCCTGCTGAGGCTCCAGCATCTGCTAAAAGCCAGCTTATCGCTTTAATTCAACCATCATCAGGCCCATGACCTGATTGGTTAAACTGGTGCGGGGTCATGTGTCTCTGGTGCGTTACTCACTCCAGACAGGGATCTATCTCCAGCCTGAGGAGAGACAGGAAACAGCGGGTCAACAGGACGGCCATTAACGCTGCGACAGGCGACCCCGGCGAGTTCAGGTTTACCAGCAGAGTGGGCGTGGCGAAGGTGAGGCAGGGGTTCTCCATGCCGCCGTAGGGGAAGGATGGAGGCAGAACCAGGATGTCGTACTGGCCCCACACGTACGGTCCAGCCAGGTCCTCCGCCGTCTTCAGCATGGTCTCCGTCTGATGGACAGGTGGACACAAACAGAAGGTTAGGTTCAAACCGACACCATGAGTGGGTCCAAGAGCTTGTTGCTACGGTCACCCACCTCAGCAAACTCAAACGCTGCTTTATCCACAAACTCCTTCTCAGACCAGACTCTGGACCTGGGGCCGATTTCCCTGTGGACCAATCAGAGAGCAGAGATTCCGTCACCTGCTCAGGCGCAGCGATCAGATCATCACACTGAGGGGGAAGATGCTACCTGCTCTCCAGTGCTCCCACCACAATGGCTATCAGGTAGGACGGCATGGCAACCTGAGGTCAGAGGTCACAGAAAGAATGGCTGCTTTCGAAAAAGTATTAACACCCCTAAAGCTTTACAATCTGTCACTTTCTAACTTCTGGGTTTTACTGGGATCTAAACGAAACAGACTGGAGGAAAACTAATGCGTCATCTAGTTGGTTAACACGGTGGTGGCAGCCTTATGCTGCGGGGAAGCTTTTTTTTTTACCTCTCAGCAGGACCCTAAACATCCTGCTGGAGTAGAGAGACGATGAGGATTCATGAGACAGAACGGCCTAGTCAAAGGAAATACCTAAACCCAGCTGATAATCTGCATGTGTGCAGCCTCCTCCGCTCGCACAACTTCCTGTTTTCTGTCACATGACATCCCAGCAAGACCCAACAAAGTTTTCTTCTCTGTAAGAGGGAAACACCCGATCGAGAGTTTAAGGCGCCACCTACCGGCTGTCTGAACCTGTAGATGATCCGACCGCTGTCCTGAGGGTCCACTTCCTGTCCGTCTCGCACGGCGCTCATCACCGCCACCAGGTCCTTTGGGACGGACACCTGGGAGACGTGGAGGGAGACGAGGCTGAAGCTCTCAGGGGATTCTGGTCTGAATGTTAGTGTGGGTGAGCTGTACAGGTGTGTGTGCAGGAGGGACAGACCTGAGCGTAGTAGGTGTGTTTGATGGAGGGGGTGTCCTGGCAGGGTACCATGCTCCTGCAGTGATGAGCCTGGAAGACAGAGAGCAGGGCAAAGCTGAGCCTTTTTGCTGGCAGTTCTGGTTCTTCCAGACCTTTGAGATTGGCTTTTTACTTTGTTTTCCATGCAAGACAAACAGATTTATTCAAACCAAACAGTCAGAGTTAGTTGAGCAACAGCTTGTTGATCAACACTAAAGAAGCAGAAGAAAAACCAAAGTATCCCCAAACTGTGTCAACAGAAATCTCAGAGAGGAAGCAGAATATGGGGCAAGTTAACAGCCAATAACAACATAGGCTGAAGGTCCAATTTATACATCAATAAACGAGAAGTTACAACTTTTACATTTGTTTTTGTTTGCAAAGTACCAATCACTAATTTTACTGGTAAATTTGCAATTCTACTTCTAAATTAATTGTCATTGTACTCATCCATATTTAGTCATATAGTACATTTTTTTATTAGTTCTTTCAATTTCATTGTTTATTTATATAGCACCAATGAACAACATGTCATCTCAAGGCACTTTACAGATACAATTCAACCAGATCATCCAGTCAGATTGATTCCAAGCTTTCTATCCAAAGAAATCCCTCGCACTAAGCATGCTTGTAGCGACAGTGGAGAGGAAAAACTCCCTTTTAACAGGAAGAAACCTCCAGCAGAACCAGGCTCAGTGTGAGCGGCCATTAATAATAAGGTCATTCCTAACTTCTAAACTTGTTTTCTCACCCATCTGATGTGACATGAGTGGACAACAAGCGGTAAAATTGATTTAAATGTACCAATTTCAGACACAAAAATTTCAGTCTTTCATCAGCTGGTGTCTTTATTTGGACACTGATTAAACCCCGAGTACGGTCTGACAGGTGCCTCACCTGGCACTGGCTGAACAGGTATGGCTGTTTCTTCCCAGCAGTCTGCTCAGGCGTGAGCCACTGCAGCGCCGACGCAGATGGAGACGTCTCATAGGCCACTTCCACGATGACCTGCTGGCCCCTGATTGGTCAACACAGACATGGAGGTTAAACGTTTTACTATTAAATCAAAAGTAGGGGGGAAATTGCTCTGCAACAGCTTCTTCCCCACTGCCATTAGACCGCTGAATGTTGAATAAAATGAAATAGATAAATAAATGAAAAAACTGCTGCACTTTAAGAAATGGAAATGTCTTGAGAGCTGTACTGAATGAAATTTGGTTTTGTATACAGGGTTCCTACAACAAAGTCAAAAGTCAAAGTCAAAAAGCCTTTATTGTCATTATATTCTGCAACGGATACAATGAGATTTGGGACTTCCATATCAGCTACCCTGAAATAAATAAAAAAAAAAAATGAAAAAATAAAAAAATAATATATATAAATATATTAAAAGGAAAAGGAAATGTAAACAGTGAAAAGGAACATAAGGCAAGTTAAACTTGTTATGTACCTTGAAATAAAACTTTAAGACCAACTTCACACTAAACACAAGAAAAATGTAACCTGATGCTTATTTTAACATAAACCACAACTTAAAGGTCCAATAGAAATGTTTCCAATTAAAAAAAATTAGGAAGGAAGCCAAAAACACACTAATAACAGAAATATTTAATGGAATTCACAAACTTTGTTTTGACCCCATAATAGCTCTGCTTTCATTGTCTGCGAACCACCAAACATTATCCGGAGATTTGGTGCTACTGGTGCTTTTTTTCACGTTGGAGATTCTGTAGAGGGTGGAAGAGAACTGAGGAACAGCTGCTGCTTCTCTGTAACTTGATTTTTCTTCTCTCTTAATGTCTGACTCCACAGCTCTGATTTGTATCAAGCCGAGCTTAAATGACTTCTTGCTCAAAAAATGCCATTCCTCATATAAATTACCTGGTTCTGTTTTTTTAGTCATGCAGAAAACTCTTGGCTGGATTGCTGAATAGTTATTGGAGCGTCACCCCAAGCACTGGCGTAACTTTCTGAAGGACTGGTGTGGACATGTTCCCACCCATCATTTCTGCTGATTTACTTCAGCCAACAGTAACTGTGTGCAGCTGTCTGTGTTCAGAGCGTTTTCAGTCTGGTTTTTTTCCTCGCTCTCCTGCACCTCTGGAGTCCCACCTCTCGGTGCGACATCATCAGATCTGTCGCTTTGGGACATAATATTATTTGGTGTCGCTATTCACTGCCTACAGAGTACAGTGGAGGAGGAGAGACACAGCAGCACTCAGTGAATATTAACCAGCAGCTACTTTGATGTTTAAAGGCACACTATGCAACATTTTTCAGTTAATTAATGTGTTCCATAACGTTATGGATGACTAAATGAGTCATTTCAGGTTGAACAAAGGTATTCTCGGCCGCCCTGGTGGTCTGTGGGGGAAATACCGCACTTGCAA